CCACAGCCAAGAGATGAATTCTGAGCACTTACCACGGGCACTTTATGGACATAAAATACCTCTCGCTGTGGGACAGATAACCAGGGCACCAGAGCAGTGGTGAAGAGATGAGGCTTAGAGGAGTCGCAGGCTTCAGAGTCCAAGTTCCCCTCTGCCTCCCAGCTGGACAGTGCCTGAAGCAAAGGAGCTGAGAATCTCCTGATCCACACCCTATCCATACCTCACCATCAGACCTCTTGGCTCTAGGCAAGAGCCTAGAGGGTCAGGAGAGGAGGGGGAAAGAACCTTCAGTAAAGTTGTTCCTCTTTAGAACCAGCAGTTATGGTTCTGATACAAATGGTACTGAACTGAAGTTAAGCCGGAGCTGGAGAGCTGACTAGGAAGGTTTGTTCTTCCCAACAGCATGACTCTCCCACCTGGCCCAGCCAGTGGAAGGGGCAAAGGTATGTGACCACCCTTGGGAAGTTGATGTTGGTGAGCTTTAGCATCTTATTCCCATAGTGAGAGTGAGATAAGGTGTTTCAGTATAGGAATAGGCAGGGGCTATTAAGCATGTCAACTTGCCTCCTCCCATACAGCAGCTATGCTAACCCCCGCCCCGCCCAGCTTCCTCTCTGACCCTGTTTATCCTTCTGGCCCAATCTGGGAGAACCTTCAACACCATTCACCTTTTCTTGGTGGAAGGAGAGGAACACAGAATTGAAGAACAGAAGATGCCTTCTCCAAGGTCAATTGCTGATGTCTTGATCTTGGCAGAGGGTGGGGTTGGGCAATAGACATCAGATAACTTCCCTCTACAAATTCTAGAGAGCTGGGACATTAGACTTGGGGACACTTAGAATATGCCCCTTTAATACCACCAAATAAAGACCTTTGGGGGAGGGCCTTTCTCTTACAAATATGAATCTGTGAATTGAAGTCTCCTTTCCCTGGTCCTCCCCACCCTCAATGAGGCCTGGAGGCACAGCCCAGTGGCCTAGTGGGAACTAGCACCACCCCTCAACCACCTTAGGATGTGTGTGGACCTCGCCAGTGCCCTCAGATCATAATTAGTGTAATTATTATTTACTTTGTGTATTTGTTACACTGTGTGTGTGATTGCCTTTGTTTGTTAAGGGTGTCTGAGGAGTATGGGGCTGACAAGGGCACTGGAATGCCGGGAAAGGACTTTTTCACTGAGATCAAGGATTCCTGGAGGGAACCATTGCAAAAAGGCCATCAGGCAGTTTTCAAGTTATGTGACAGAGGGCAAAGATGGCCATAGGGTGCTCTGAGTTTTGGAATGGTCACATGACACAATCCAGCACTTGAACCTGAAAAGAGAAAAATAAAAGCAGTCAAAAGAATTTAGAATTCAGTGATGAGCTCTTCTCCCTAACCAAGTGCCACATTTACACTTCCGAGACCAGGAACAGAAGAGGATCTGAGACAGGACGAACCCTTATGCTCAAGAACTAAGAAGAGGTGGGTCTTTGGGAAAGGGAAAAACACTAGTGGCATCCGGGATGAGGGCTGGGACAAGCAGCCCAAGAATGGGGACCTAGAACCCCTCTAGAGAGCTTGATCCAAAACAGCCCCGAAGGTTACAAAAACCCTCTCCTAGCTTCCAGAGAATGAAGATCTAAAAGTTCTCATGATCCAGCTCATGTCTATCCTACTCTGCAGTTCCATGATCCTGGGTTTGCTCAACAAAGTTTTACCAACATCTATAAACCAACAAAGCCATTCGCCTTGCCAGTATACCAAGAATGGTTAAGTGTCTCAAAAATTCCTCCCATGTACCTATAGCACACTTCCAAGGCATGAGTTGGGAGTACCAAAGGAATCTTGCCTAAATTGTATTTTTTCAAAAAGAAAGCTACTATTAACATCGACCTGATCCAGAATGAAGACAGGCTACTGAGGGTTCAATGTGCCACCAAGCCTTCCCTGTCTTGTCAGTTTTATTTACTGACTCCACCTCAGACCAAGACTGAAGTTGAGAGGACAAAGGTGCTACATACCGTATCCTCCCAAGGAACTGCTTTATTCACATCTACCCCTAGCTTTTTACCTTAGTTAAAAATAGGCTGTTTTCCTCTACTGCTCATTGTTTCTTACTTTGAGGACACCCAGAAGAAACTACAAGATGACTTTTGTCCCCAAACATCCTCTAAACCAATGCATGAGTTCATTTTGGGGATGTTGGGTGCCCCAAGCTGAGTACCAGCAGAAAGTGGCATTTACAACCTGTGTTCTCTAGTGAGGCAGAAGCAGGGAGGTCTGCCCCAGGTGACAATGTCAGTTTTCCCGCCCCAGCAGGTACGGGAGCAATTAGGACTCCTCTCCTCCCCCAACTCATCCTCCTAATGTACCTACACATGTAGTGTGCACACAAATTTCATTCAGCCCCTTACCCTCTAGTTGGATGCTACTTGGGGAAAAGAAAGTCTTCCCACTGTAAATCACCTAGCAAAATTAAGAGCTAATACTTACCAAATGGTTACTATGCAAACTATGGTAAGCAAATTGTGCCAAGTACATAATATAGCAATTCTCAAGAGTTCCTAAAAATCACACCTAAGTAGCTGCTATACAATATTCCATTCCAATATATTGTATTAATAGTGGACATATAGCAAGAGAGGCAGAGGTTAGTTTCCGATGGATTTCAATAAGCAGGTGAGTGACACTGCCTGTTGGAGGTCAGAGAAAAGGGAAAAACGGTTAGGATCCTTCCTTCCCTTTCATTTCTCATACCTACATGGCAACTTAACACCACTAAGTCCTGCTCTTACATCTTCCTTCTTATACCTTTTACCCCACAGAAACTTCTAGCCTTATCTTCAGAAGTTCCCCAAAGTTGGGAAAGGACAGTCTTTTTTTAATGGGAACTCATTTCTTTTTTTTTTTAATATTTTATTTGTTTTTAGAGAGGGAAGGGAGGGAGATAGAAAGAGAGAGAAACATCAATGTGCGGTTGCTGGGGGTTATGGCCTGCAACCCAGCCATGTACCCTGACTAGGAATCAAACCTGCGACACTTTGGTTCGCAGCCCGCGCTCAATCCACTGAGCTACGCCAGCCAGGGCTGGAAAGGACATTCTTAACTGAATGATGTTGGAGAAAAAGAGAATGATCCTGGAAAACAATAAAAATGTATAGATTTACAGCTGAGGAAGCTAGTTCCCTCCACATCTTTTATAGACTCCCTCATTAAGAGTTTCCAGGTATGCAGAGAATGTCACAGCTTCAGAACAGAGTAGCCTGTCAGCTAACCACACCTAGATCTTGGATCAGCTATAGTAGACAGACTGGGGGATAGGAAGGAAGAGTATACCAGATTCTAGATAAGAGGATTAGAAGCCTGGCTGCCTGTTTATGCCTTTAAAGGGACTTACTATTTAAAGACTAAATTAGTAAAAAAGACTTGAACTACTCATGCTCAAAAACTACGTGTAGAATGACTATGAGACAGAGAGAAGAACAGTTAGTGACCAGATTTAGAGGTGAAAGACTTCTGACCAATGTAAGAACAGCTACTGGAATGAGATGAAATAGTTAGAAAGTCCACACTGTCAAGGACTTGGGGAAAGTGAGTTGAGTCAGGAAAGAATGATTTGGCTTTAAGAGAATCCTGGGGTGGAGTGGGTGCTGGGGAGACAGTGCTTTTATGTAAGGTTACAGAGGAGGCAAAGTAAACTTGAAGGATCCACTGCTCCACTCCATTATCACCATCTGTTCAATTCCTTTACCTATTACTTCTTATCATCCTTGGGTAGAAGACCCTAACTGAATCTATGACCTCTTTGAAGCTGCAAAACAACTAATTCTCTCTGGTTCTCTTTTTAAGAGTAGAGAGAGGAAAAGCTAGCCTTAAATTAGGGCCTGGAGAAAAGAAAGGTAGGCTGACAGAAGAGGCCAGAGGAAGGAAAAGTTTAACTAGGAGTCCCTTTTGTTTACTTTTCCAAAGTCTCAGAATGGGGCAAAATTTACAACAAATGGGCAATCTTTGGATCTACTCTCCGAGGCAGTTTTCCTAACGTGTCTAAACCTAGGTCCCTGCCTCCTCAGCAACCAGAGACTTTGTGGAAAGAGATTCTTGTTAGGAAGGGGATCAAACCATTCCCTATTAATTACTAAACAAGCCAGAAGGTTTTAGTAGAAATGGGAACAAGGAATTACATTACAGCAACACAGGATCTGATTATGATACCAAAGCCTTCAGGTAAGGTGCCAGGCCCTTAAGATTAAATAGCAGGTCTCAGATCTACATGAAACTTCAAATGCAAACAAGCAGCCTACTTAGGGCAAGCCAAAACTTTCCAAGTTAGGAAACCCAGCAAGTACAATGGATTTTAGTAAGATCTAAGAAATGTTAGCACTAAAACTGCAATAGTATATTTCTGCAACAGAAGACAAACTAGCAAAGGGCTTGATTAGAAGGTAGAAGCCTCCGGTCCATTGCTTATGTCCCCAGTGAGCTAGGCAACAATGCTTAACACCTCTGACATCATGTCAGGCTTTGAATCTCTACATTTTCTTCTAGCTCAAGAGGGGTACCCAGCCCATCTCCTTTACTGAACTGCCTGACCAACAGGGTCCCACATACTGGCTTTGGCTGAAACCAGACAGTATCACACCAGGTCACTTCCAAATCAGGACCCTTTTGGACTCCTGACATATAGCAGACTACCAATCATTAGCCCTTATATTTAAATCCTTTGCAACTCCTAAGACACACAGTGTTCTTCCTATTTCATCCCAATGGGTCACATGAACCTGCTGAAGCAAAGGCTCAGGGTGAAACCTGGCCTCTTCATGGAGCATAAAGAGGTAAAATACCTGTGAATATGACAATATAAATAGGCTTTAAGGGATTGATTCAATCCTTTTCCTTATTCTCTTTTCTAATGGGTAAAAAGGCATTATGACTAACTCTGTTTATCTGTCCCTGAAGTTCCCCATATCTAATCTAATTTGGATCTAAGAACTCAAAGGAGCACATAATAAAACACATTGTTCTCTTTTCTATTTTTTATTAACAAGCAAAATAATTAAAAACAACAACACAACAACAATCTTAAAGTTGGAACAGTAAGAAGTCAAACTGCTACTGTAGTTCACCGGTGTACCTGGGGTACATGCTCTCTTAAAGAGAGGCAGGACCTAGGCACAAAACTGTATTTAGGTATATATATGACCAATAAGAATCAGAGAAATGGAAACCACTGGAGAACAGAAAACACTGAGCTTCTCATCAGGCAATCCCAAAGCGCTCTGCTCTTTTCCTCTTCTTTGCCTATAAGGAACAAGCAAGAAGGAAAAAAAAATTAGATTGCAAGATGATAGTGTCCTGGGTTCCTGGCTGCTTTAATCCAAACTCACATGGATTGTCACAAGGTCCAAGAAAGAGGGAAGGCCCAGGTTTAAGCTTGGCAGCCAAAGATTTCATTCCTGAATTTCTCTTGTTATCCAGTTAGAGCTAGGGGAAGTTTGGTGGAAAAGGAGGGTGAGAAGGGTAGAAGATTGTAAGGGGGGGCGGGGGGGGGCAGGAAAACAGTGGCAGAAAATGGATAGATTCCTGAAGGAGAGAGGGCCGCTCAGCCTTGTAGCAAACAATGGACTCTTAACAGGCTGGGGAAAGTCTTCTACTCAGCGGGAAAATGGAAGATTTCAGTGGACAAAGCGTTGGCCTATGCCGTGGAGGTGAGGGGAATGACCTTCTGGGCCCATGCAGCAGCTATTCCTTAGTCCTCCAAATCCAAAGAGGCATAATATGTCAACATAATAAATGGGGAGAAGAGGGGAGTCCCTAATATGGATCTCTTAAGGGAAGAAGCATTTGAGGGCACAAAATAGGGTAGGGGAAAAAACCTTTTTGTTCTAAGACTGACTCAAACAACACTGAATCCATCCTTCCTCCAACCACTGCCCCAGCAAAAGGGGGCTTCTTTTTCATTCCATTCACACAGGAGGTTTAATTTAGATTAAAAAGAAAAGCTGAGTGTTTACAGACCCAGACCACTCAACAAGGATTATTAACACAATTCTTTGGAATCAAATGAAAGTCATCTGGTTCACATAAACTCCATTAGCCTCAGAAACTACTACACTTCCTTACATACATGGACTTTCTCAACAAAAGCTGGTATTCCTTGCCACCCAACAAATCTGTCTTACCTTGGAGAGAACAAATGTATCAGCTTAGTGAGCACGTCTAGTCTAACAGTTTCCTTGGGAAAAAGGGAGTAATTTTAACTAGAATGAACACATACCTAGGTGTATGGTTTACTTCTAGCTCATCCTGGCTAGTCACTGAGTAAGCAGATATTTATAACAGATAGTGATTTATTCTGAATTAGGACAAAAAACACAAACCCCTCTAGTTTTTTCGTAGTGAAGAATGTAAACTGAACAGACTCTAAAATTTTCAGGGTTTATTTTTATTATTCACAAAGAAACTTCTTAAGATTTTCAGTGTGCGAAGTAACAGATTTTCAGAAGATATCTCCAGAGATAAGGGGAAAAAAGAAGAAAATCTGGATTAAATGAGAAAAAGAATATTCCAAATTCCTCACCACTCAAAAAATTTCTGTAATTCAAAACATCCATTATTTCAAATGTTCCTTATATACACACGTCAGGTGACAATTGGTCTCCAGTATATTAACTTGGCCAAAGTCTAGGTTTTTTTCCCCATAAAATAAAAAACATACTTCCTTATTTAAGATTTCATTTATTTATTTTCAGAGAGAGGGGAAGGGAGGGAGAAAATAGATGTGTGGTTGCCTGTGGCATACCCCCCCACTGGGGACCAGGCCTGCAACCCACGCATGCACTCTGACCAAGAATCAAACTGGCAACCCTTTGGTTTGCAGGCTGGTACTCAATCCACTGAGCCACACCAGCCAAAGCGGATTTGGATATTTTGAGTATGTCGACTATCTCCTGCAATTGGCTTCTACTGGGTAGAGGCCACGGCTGCTGCTAAACATCTGCTTTTAAAAAATGCATGCTGAACGCTGGCTGGTGTGGCTCAGTGGATTGAGCATGTCAGCCTGTGAACAGAAAGGTCACTGGTTCAAATCCCAGTCAGGGCACATGCCTGGGTTGCAAGCCAGGCCCCCAGTTGGGGGTGGGTGAAGGGCAACTGATCGATGTATCTCTCACATACTGATGTTTCTCTTCCTCCCTTCCCCGCCCTAAAAAAAAAAGTAAATAAATAAAATCTTTAAAAAACAATGCATACTGATATGACAGCTGTCACAATAATATCTAACAAAATTATTTTGAATGAAGTCTTTAACTAAAGCACTACTAGAGACATCCAACGGAAAATACTAAATGAACTTTTTGGCCAACCCAATAGATACTTTCAAATCAGCAAATCAATATTATCTATCACTGTTCTAAGCAGTCTTCCAATGTTTAAGAGTCTCAGTGAATGTGAGTTACTCCACAGGAAGCTGGAATATGGATGAACACAAGTCTTAAAAAAGGTGGCGGGGGGAGAGAGACTTCCGGTCAAGATTGCAGCACAGGCAGACATGGCTTGCCTCTTCGCACAACTGAAATATAGAACAACCATCACTCAGAACGATCAGAAATTGAGTTGAATGGAAGTCTTGACAACTACAGAATTAAATAAAACCACATCAATACAGTTTGGTAGGAGGGATGCAGACAAGGAACGGGGCTAGTCCCACATCCACGTGTGGTAGATAAAAATTCGGGAAGGTTATATCGAGAGCAAGGAGTCCCAGCCCTACACCACACACACCACACCCACCAGCCCAAGGTTCCAGTGCCAGGAAGATAAGTCTCCACAACTTCTGGCTTCAAAAACAAGTGAGGATTGGTTCTGTGGAAGAAACTTCTGTAGCCCCAACAGATCCTTGTAAAGAACCCACCCACGAACTTACTTACCTACTTACACTTACTCCCTCTGAGCTTTAGCACAGGGGTAGCAGCTTGAAAGGCACGGTGGTGTACTGTGAGAAATTGAAGTGTCTGGCATCAAGGCAAGCAGAGGCCATTGTCCATTTTCTAAACCCTCCACAACAGGGCCATGGAGCCATAAAGCCAGCAAGCAGATCCCATATCTGAGATTCCATCAACCTTACTAACACCATTTGACCCACTCTGGAGATCTCCTGAGACTCCACCCCACTCAAGCTGCTTTTCCGTATGAATGGCTGGTCTTGGCTCACGCTGCACAACTTCCTAAATCCTCTCAAAAAAGCCTCAGTGAGCCCCAGGCCCAGCAGCAGCAGCAGCAGCAGCCAGCCTGGATTCACAGCTTGGTTTCTCCTAGGAATCTCCAAGCCCAGCACAAGTAGCAGCCATATCAGACTGATTTATAGCTCAGGCAGGGTGGCCCTAGGGCAAAACACAGGTGGTGGTTGACCTTAGCCTGCGCCACCCAGGAAACACAAGGGCTAGTGCACCCAGTGGACAGCTACAGACCACGCTGGAGTACCACCATCCTGTCCCAGCACAGCTGATCCTCTACAGAGGGCAGAGGTTGGTGGTCAGTGGTCACAGCCAGTCCTTGCAGCCGACAGGCCTGGGTAAATCCCTCCCATTGATCTCCCAACAGCAACCAAGACTCAACTACAAAAGGAGAGTGGCCCTGGGTGGTGTGGCTCAGTGGATTGAGTGCTGGGCTCCAAACCAAAGGGCTGCCAGTTCAATTCCCAGTCAGGGCACATGCCTGGGTTGTGGTCCAGGTCCCCAGTGGGAAGGCAACCACACACTGATGTTTCTCCTCCTCTCTTTCTTCCTCCCTTCCCCCCTCTCTAAAAATAACTAAATAAAATCTTAAAAAAACAAAAACCAAAAGGAGGATGTACTCAGCCCACATGAAAAGTGTACCTTAAGTACCCAGCCTGGGTGACAGGAAAGACTGTACTAATGAACCCTTACTACATTAGGCCACACTACCAAGACATGGAGTCAAAGCAGTTGTACCTAATAATACATAGAAACAAATGCAGGGAGTCTGCCAAAATGAGGAGATAGAGAAATATGGCCCAAATAAAAGAACAGATCAAAACTAAAAAGAGCTAAATGAAATGGAGAAAAGCAATCTATAAGATGCGGAGTTCAAAACACTACTTATAAGGATGCTCAAAAAACTTAGTGAAGACCTCAGTGGCATAAAAAAGATCTAGTCAGAAATGAAGGATACTCTATTTGAAATAAGGAACAACTGGCCTGGCTGATGTGGCTCAGTGGATTGAATGCTGGGCCTGCAATGCAATGGGTTACTGGTTTAATTCCCAGTCAGGGCACATAACTGAGTTGTGAGCCAGGTCCCCAGTAGGGGTCGTGCAAGAGGTAACACACATTGATATTCCTCTCCCTCTCTTCCCCTCTGAAAATGAAAATAAAATCTTAAAAAAAATCAAAAGAGAACAATTTACAGGGAAACAACAGTACAGTGGATGAAGCCAAGAATCAAATCAATGATTTGGAACATAAGGAAGCAAGCAACAACTAATCAGAACAGAAGAAAAGAGTTTCTGAGTGTTCCGGACAAGATGGAGGAGTAGGTAGACACATTGTGTCTCCTCATACAACCAAAAGAACAACAACAAATTCAAAAACAAAAACAACCAGAAAATTTGAACTGTATGGAAGTCCCACAACCAAAGAGTTAAAGAAGAAACATTCATCCAGACTGGTAGATGGGCAGCCAGGGTGGAGAGGACGTGTGGCAAGGTGGTGGTGGTGGGTGGAGGACCTCCGCAGATGAGGTAGTGGCTAGCAGACTGGGTGCTCCCACATTTCTCTGAGATGAACCAGGAAAAACAACTGAGGCGCAAGAAGACCATCTGTGCAACCCAGAGTTCCAGCACAGGAAAACAGCCTCAAAACTGACTGAAAAAACCTGTGGGGGTTGTGGGGGCAGAAAAAACTCCCAGCCTCACAGGAGAGTTCGTTACAGATACTCACAGGGTCCTAAAATGTACACAACCTCACTCACCCAGGAATCAGCACCAGAGGACCCAATTTGCTAGTGGGTAGCAGGAGAAGTGACTGAAAACTGGCCAAGAGCTGAGCAACTGGCAATGTTCCCTCTTGGACCCTCCCCCTCAGTGCCACAACACAGCAATGTGAGTTGCCCCACCAAGGTGAATACCTAAGGCTCCACCCCTTACTATATAACAGGTGTTCAGAGACCAGAAAAAAAAAGAGGCCCAAATGAAAGAACAGATCAAAGCTCCAGAGAAAATACCAACCAAACAATGAAGAGATAGCCAACCTATCAGATGCACAGTTCAAGACACTGGTAATCAGGATGCTCACATAAAGGTTGAACATGGTAGCAAAACAGAGGAAAAAGTGAAGGCTATGCAAAGTGAAATAAAGGAAATACACAGGGAACCAACAGTGACAGGAAGGAAACTGTTGACTCATATCAACAGTTTGGACCAGAAGGAAGAAATAAACATTCAACCAGAACAGAATGAAGAAACATGAATTAAAAAAAAAATGAGGAGAGGCTTAGGAACCTCCAGGACAACTTTAAACATTCCAACATCTGAATCATAGGGGAGGAGGAAGAAGAAGAGGAAGAGAAATAGATAGAAATCTTTTTTAAAAAGATTTTATTTATTTATTTTTTAGAGTGGGAAGGGAGGGAGAAAGAGAGAGAAACATCAATGTGCGGTTGCTGGGGGTCATGGCCTGCAACCCAGGCATGTACTGTAACTGGGAATCGAACCTGTGACACTTTGGTTCACAGCCTGTGCTCAATCCACTGAGCTACGCCAGCCAGGGCTGAGACAGAAATCTTATTTGAAAAAATAATGAAGGAGAACTTCCCCAATCTGGCAAAGGAAACAGACTTCTAAGAAGTCCAGGAAACTCAGAAAGTCCCAAAGAAGTTGGACCCAAGGAAGCACACACCAAGGCACATCATAATAACATTAGCCAAGATCAAAGATAAGAAGAGAATCTTAAAAGCAGCAAGAGAAAAGAAGACAGTTACCTACAAAGGAGTTCCCATAAGACTAGCAGCTGATTTCTCAAAAGAGACCTTAAGGCAAGAAGGGGCTGGAAAGAAGTATTCCAAGTCATGAAAGGCAAGGACCTACATCTAAGATTTCTCTATCCAGCAAAGCTTTCATTTAGAATGGAAGGGCAGATAAAGTGCTTCCCAGATAAGGTCAAGTTAAAGGAGTTCATCATCACCAAGCTCTTATTATATGAAATGTTAAAGGGACTTATTTAAGAAAAATAGCAAGATCAAAACTATGAACAATAAAATGGGAACAATAGATATCCATCAACAATTGAATCTAAAAAACAAACTAAGCAAAGAAGAAAAACAGAGACAGAATTACAGATATGGGGGTGGGGAGGTTAGGCAGTCGAGGGATTAAGCAAAAAAGAAAAAGGTCTCATGGACATGGACAACAGTGTGATATAAAGGAACTAAATAGTATTGGAAATGTATAGTAATGTATAGTAATAGTAATGGAAAAATATAATAAAGATTACATTAAAAAATCATGCATACGAAGAGTGTTTTTATGGTTACTAGATGGGAGTGGGGTATTAGGGAAAAGGTGAGGGAATTAAGGTATACAAATAGGGGCCTGGCTGGTATGGCTTGTGGACTAAGTGCAGGTCTGCGGACTGAAAGGGTGCTGGTTTGATTCCCAGTCAGGACACATGCCTGGGTTGCAGGCCAGGTCCCCAGTTGAGGGCATGCAAGACTCAATCAATTAATTGATCTAGTTCTCACACATCGATTTTTCTCTCCCTCTCTTCCTCCCTCCCTCCAAAATTAAAGAAGTAAAACTGAAACAAAAAGAAAGAAAGAAAGAAAGAAAAAAAAAGTACAAATAGGTAGTTACAGAATAGCCATGGAGATGTAAAGTACAGTACAGGAAATGGAGTAGCCAAAGAATTTATATGCATGACCCATGGACATGAACAATGTTGGGGGGATTGCCTGAGGGAGCGGGAATGTTGGGTATAGGTGGGCAAAGGAGGATAAATCAGGATGACTATAATAGCATAATCAATAAAATATAATTTTAAAAATTTAAACAAAGAAAGCAAAAATGAGAAACTATCTGTAAATAAAGTGCTAAGAACAGGACATCTCACTTCAGTCCATTGTCCTACGTAGAGGGGAGTTAGGCACAACTATACTTGTGCCTGGGTCAGATATAGCCTTCATTAAATAGTCAAATATACCTGGCAGATTATCAGCAACAATACTACTAATTGAATACTCAAGTATGACAGGTGTCTTCATGTCAAGCATTCTCCCTAGAATCATTCTTTTTTATGTAGAAACATTTCATGCTTAAGATACTACTTCAAAGTAGGTATTACTCTACACCCAAGATGCTAAAACTAAGAAAAGTACCATAGCCCTGGCTGGTGTGACTCAGGGGACTGAGTGCCAGCCTCCAAACCAAAGTGTCACCATGTCAAAGCCTAGTCATGCCTGGGTTGTGGGCCAGGTCCCCAGTGAGGGGTGTACGAGATGCAACCACACATTGACGTTTCTCTCCCTCCCTTCCCCTTTCTTTAAAAATAAATAAATAAAGCGGGCTGTGAACCAAAGTATCGCAGGTTCGATTCCCAGTCAGGCCACATACCTGGGTTGCAGGCCACGGCCCCCAGCAACCACACATTGATGTCTGTCTGTCTGTCTGTCTGTCTCTCCCTCCCTCCCTTCCCTCTCTAAAATTAAATAAATAAAATCTTTTTAAAAATGCATTTAAAAAAATAAATAAAATCTTAAAACAAACAAAACAAGAAAAGTGCCATAACTTGTAAATATTACTGTAATACTAAATGGCTGAGCCACTTTTCAAATCCAGACTTATCTGATTCCAAATCTTATGGTGTATTTTTACCTCTGTATCCTCTGTGGTTCCTGTTCCAGCTGAACTTGTGACAATTCCAAATCGTTCCTTCCTCTTTTTCAGTTTCTCATCATCTTCAGACTGTTCAGGGACAAAGAAAAGGGTTGAAACAAGTTAGCCTCCATTCACAAGGGAAATGGGAGTTAACTATAATTTATGGATCACAATATGGTCAACCTTGTATCAAGAACTAAGGATCACACAAACAGAAGAAAAACAGGTAAGAAACTGAATAAGCTAACATAAAGTATGCTGTCCCTAGAATAACTAAAAACTTTATTTTATGAAGGGGCTAGAAGATGGTGGTTGACCCCAGTGTTGCCAACAGAAACATGGAGATAGGGAAGATCAAGAAGCTGATTAAGTAAAAGCTTGGAGGCGTCCCTTAGCAATGGCACAGGCATGATATATTGATCATTCCTCCCGAAGGCCAGATTTCACCAGTGGCAAAAATGTTAGCAAATGCAGGAACTGCAAGTAAGTCACAGGTGTGTAATGCCTGGGAGACATTACATCTGTATAACAAAGATTCAAACTTTAAAACAAAATGGCCTGGTTGTTTACCATGGTACAATTTCGTAACAGAAGAAGGAAAAGAAAGTCAACATTGACTTAGAACTTCTGAAACTGATTAATGCCTTATTGTATTTGTGTGACAACAAATTCCACACATAGGCTCTTATAGCACTACCTTCAGATATTAGATTCATTGTAATAGATCGTAGTGGTGCACTTTTTGGCACACTCCAAGGAAATACAAGAGAAAGTCTGCACATATTCACTGTGGATCTTCCAAAGAAACATGGAGGAGGTCAGTCAGCTCGAGTTTTGCCTGTTTAAGAATGGAAAAGCGACATAACCATGTCAGAAAGTAGCTAAGACTGCTGTTTAGCTGTTTATTTCTAGGGACAAAGAATGTGGCTGGTCTCATTTTGGCTGGATCAGCTGACTTTGAAACTGAACTGAGCCAATCTTATGTTTGATGAGACATTACAACCAAAAGTTTTAAAATTAGTTGATATATCCCATGGAGGTGAAAATGGATGCAACCAAACTACTGAGTTATCTACTGAAGTCCTCTCCAATGTGAAATTCATTCATTCAGAAGAAGTTAATAGGACAATACTTTGATAAAGTCAGCCAGGATATGGAGGAAAAAATTCTCTAACTCCAGAACATGAAGAGGATAAATCTCATTTCACAGACAAAGAGATAAGACAAGAACAGGAGCCAACTGAGATCATGACCCTGCTGGAATGGTTCGCTAACAACTATACAAATTTTGGAACTAGAATGGAAATCACCACAGATAAGTCACAAGAAAGATCCTTGTGAAAGGATGTGGTGGAATTGGAGGTATCTTGCAGTACCGGGTATATTGCCAGGGAATGGAATACCAAGGAGATGATTTTCTCAACCTTAATGACTACTAGTTGACATGGGTCTGGCAAAATATGCCTCACCCTCCAGCATCCAACCCCAAGGAGCATATCCGTGGTGGAATCCAAACACACCCCTTCCTTACAATTGAAACATTTCCAGAACTTAATCCATGAGTATTGGATACTGAAAAGAAAACGGAAACAAAATTGGATACAACCCTACACTTTGGTTTGTCCTAGTGTCAGCACAACTAAATTCCTAAATACAACTTTGAACTAATTTAAGTAAGAATCCCAGTTTTTGGCCCTAGCTGGCTGGTATGGTTCAGTGGATTGAGTGTCGGCCTGTGAACCAGAAAGTTGCCAGTTCTATTCCCAGTCAGGGCACATGCCTAGATTGCAGCCTGGGTTCCCAGTTGGGGATGTGCGAGAGGGAACTGATTGATTTATCTCTCACGCATTGATGTTTCTCTCCCTCTTTCTCCCTCCCTTCCTCTCTCTCTAAAAATAAATAAAATCTTTAAAAAAACACACACCAATGAATGCATGAATAGGTGGAATAACAAACTGATGTTCTTCTCTCTCCCCCTAACCCTCTAAAATCAATTAAAAAAAAAAAAAGTTTGTTTGAAATCTTTTGACCTGACCTTATGCTGGTTATCAAAGAAACTATACTGGCCCATAGTGAGGGTGGATATATGTGTGGAGTAGAGGGTCTCTTGAGATGTATGAGAGAAAAGATTCTTTGTCAGGAGTGCCAAGTTCAGGGAAAGGGTTGGGGTGGGGAGAGATGAGACACCCCAGGGGTCTACCTGAGTTTAGATGTTAACCAATTCTAGGGCTGCGCTTTTGATTACTGGCAGTAAAATGTGAAGGGAAGGTGGAAAATGAAAAACATCTGTTAAAGTGGGATAGATAAAATGGCAGGTTTTAGGTTCTGATGGGAATATGTATGAGACTTTTACATTGAAAGTAGCTTAGTCTTTAAAACAGCTCTAGGAGAATGGCCAGCTTCAATTCTAATTCAGTGAGTTGAAACACTGTCTCCAGTTACAGGGCAGGCATCATGAGTCTCTTGGATGCTTGGAAAGGTACAGAGCATCTCTCTCTTAGCTGGTTCCTTGACTCACCTTATTTCAAAATCATTTCAAACTACTCAGAGTTCTTTTGGCTTGAGAAACATGTTCATTTTCTCCCTTTTGCTGCACTTGCCTTCTAGTGAGAATGAAAGGAGCTAAGAAAGGTTGGTGGTCATGAAGGACTGAAAAATCCTACATATGAGTTACCACTTAATTATATTCTACTAATAACTAGAACAGAATATAGCCTGCATAGTTTTTCTGCCTTTTTCATTACAACCATCATCAAATCCATAGTGGCTGCATAATTAATATAATCTAAATTACTATAAAACATCATGCCAGGTTTTAGAAAAAAGTATCTTGTCAACTTTAATAATCATAAATTAATATATTATAGCCACTAAGATTTGAGTGCTTACTATGTGCCAGGTACTACATGTTCTTTACAGGCAGTATCTCATTTACTTCTTACAGCAATCTTAAAAACAGTAGGTACTATAACATACATAGTGGGGAGACACTATGACTAAATTCATTTAATAGACAAGAAAACTGAGGCTGAGAGATTACATAATTTGCCCAAAGTTTCACAAATAGTCTTACAGTGTAAATGTGAGAGGCAGGAATGGAACTCAGGGCATTTTAGCCACTTTCCTAACTTAACCACCTCAGGTATCTTGCATAGGCATTTCTTTACAACAATGGTAGCAGAGTGGAAGAAGTGCTTAATTCCCATGGGGTAAGCATTAGTACCACCCTTAGATAAAAGTAGTTGTGAACTACTTCAATGACTTCCATATCACTCAAATAACTTGAGTCAATGATAGGATCCTATCCCCTTTCTATCATACCAAATGCCTCCACTTTATAACTATGCAGGGATCTAAGGAAGGGACTGTCATTAGTCATCTTACACTAAAGATTTTTCTCAACCAAATTTGTTTCTAATTTTGGCTTACCGATTATTCGATCTACTGAACTGCAATAAAAAATTAAGAGGGTTTCCAATGAACACAGGCCTCACTACATTTTTCCTTACCTAAGTTAGCAGGAAAAGTTTTGTCTACCACCACTAACGTAAAAGTGAATAAGGGATATAAATCCCTTATTGGAAATTTCAAAATAAAAGCCTCTACAGAATATTCTTAAAAAGATTTTATTTATTTATTTTTAGAGAGGGAAGGGGGGGAGATAGAGATAGAGAAACATCAATGTGCGGTTGCTGGGGGTCATAGCCTGCAACCTAGGCATGTACCCTTACTGGGAATCGAACCTGCGACACTTTGGTTCACAGCCCGCGCTCAATCCACTGAGCTACGCCAGCCAGGTAGAATATTCTTGATAAAGTATCTCTACTTCACTAAGTCTCCAGGCCAAGGTGGAGTTTTAAGGGTAATGAAAAGAATGTTCCATACTCTTCTTGGGGAGAGGCAGGACTATACCATACCTTGCTAAACTACCACACTATGTACTTTCTTTCATTTAATTCAATGCTAGGGGTACTTCAGTAAATTCAAATTACAGAGAGGGTGATGCTACCTGAAACCCAGCCATTCTCAGCACAAACCCTGGGGCCACTCCTCACAAATCTGTATTCAGAATGTGTGGAACAACCTTTATTCTGGTTTCCTATTTTGCTAGATCCAGAAATGAGAATTTTGATTTCTAAATTAAATTTCCTGTGTTTCCTTTTGAGCTCAAAGGTAAGGCAAAAACAAGGGAGGAAAAAGAATGGAGGGAGCAGAGAATATACTTCTCTAGCCACTAGGGAAAGTATAAGAGATTTCCCTATGAGCTTCCTTTTTTTTTTTTAAATCCTCACCCGAGGATATATTTATTGATTTTTTTAGAGAGAAAGGAAGGGAAGGAGAGAGAAACATCAATCGACTACCTCCCGTACATGCCCTAACCAGGACTGAACCAGCAACCTAGATATCTGCCCTGACCAGGGACTGAACCCTCAACGTTTTGGTGCACAGGACGACACTCCAACCAAATGAGCCAGCTTGGCCAGGCCATGAGCTTCCCTTTTAATCAGATTGTTGGTGCCTCTCCTGGAGATTCAAGGCAGAGCATCTGCTCCAAATCTACCAGGGGTTCTAGGGGAAAAACAAAAACAATACAGGTCCCACTTCCCACTCCCTATAAACAGCCTGTCCACTCCTCTCCTGCAGAGACCAGTGAGGGTTTACTTTGTGCATGCCTGTTCTTCCCTCACCACCCAGTGCCCCTCAACTCCCCTCCTAAAGCCTCTTTCCTTCTTGCCCTGCAGGGAAAGTGCACAACAGGCCCAGTAAATCAACACAGTTCTAATGACTTCCCTCACTTGACCCTTCTAGCGTGAAGGTGTCGCATGGAAACAAATGTACAATAAACTTTACTCCATCTTTAGCTCCTTGCTGACAGGCTTTGATTCATGGGATGGTGAGACCTATCTAAGGGAAATTATCTTGATCAAAATGCATCTCTCTCTGCATTCATCAAGCCAATGCTCCCTTAGGCCATGCTCAAGTGCACAAATGGGGTTATGCCTCTGCAGGCAGCACTGACCCCTTTAGCTCAAGTGTCATATGCATTTGCAAACCTTTCTCTTCTTCATCCCTCTTTCCACTTCCCT